TTTCTTCGCACTAATGCAGGAAATCAGCATTGTGGTGCATTTCAAATAATGTTAGTTAATATCACACAAGCCACAGGAAGAAGTGAACATACGTTTCTTGGTTTTAGAACTTGTCGGCAGGGCGAATTCATTATACCATCTTTTCTGATTAATAACATCCTACTGCGGCACCCTATATTACTTGCTACCTGAATTATAGCTTTATTTATCGTACTTAACAGGTCAATGTTATGAATCGTTTATCAATAGGCAATTTTAAAACCTGATAAAAAGTTACTGTAAAATTTTTTAACTTATTGGTTACTTACTACTTCTTATTATTTTAATTAGACTAGGAAACCATTTGTCTTCTCCCAGCTCTTAACTTAAAATTCATTTGCTTAAGATAATATTTTTATTTGTCCCTTGCTTTCCTAGTGGAACATAGGGCCTCAGTAGCACGTCGCCACTTCACTTTCTTCTCTACAGTCTTTCCAACCTGACTCCACAACTGCACACAAGCTTTCATTTCTTCCTCACATGGTTCCCTCCCTGCCACCCTCAGCTGGGACGCTTAACTCGTCGTTTGGGTTCCACTCGAGGGCGTGGCATGCTACTCGATGTCTCAGAATGGTCTGCCAGGCGTATGCTCAATCCATCTCCACTTTCTTACACATATTTGTTGGGCAATGAGTTCTCCATTGGTTCATTCACAGAGTGAAGTCCATGTTGCTTATTCTTATTATTCTGACCATCTGATATTCACTGCCAGTATCAAGTGAGAGTAGGTAGCAGCTGTTCGTCTATGTATGTAGTTTGCTTGAAGTGCTCTTCATAACGCGTCAAGTTTCTGAGCCATCACACAAAAGCACTGACTTGAATCACATTAGTGTTGAAAATCCGCATCTTGTTCACGCTTTATGCTGAGTGCAATACAAGGTAGTAGATCTCCACACTGATTACTTAAAGTTAAGGAAGGCCTGTCTTGCTGTCTTTTCGATCCTGGCTTTGACTTCTTCACCTGTGCCGCCGCCTGTAGTCGAAAAGATCCTGCCTAGGTGGTAGGTAAAACAGACTACTTCCTTTGCATTTCTCCTGTTGGTGGTGATTGGTGCTTGTTATCATCGTTGCTTAGGAATGTTCATTACCTCTGTCTTCTCTACGTTCACTTGAAGTCCCGTATTCACTGCCTTCCCTATCCTGTCACCTTGCTGGTTTTGCCTGTAGATCTTCGATTTTGTGCCAGAAGATATTAGACATCAGTTCTCAATGGCGAAATCCAAATCTTCTTCTGCGGTCGTCTCATTTGTTCAGCCAGCGTATGCCAGTCTTCTCGCTCCTCACATTTGTTGCATGAACGAGTACAGTTTAGTCGACCATAATCAGGAAGATTATCGGTGGTATTAGGTAGCCTTGTCTTACTCTTGTTTTCACTTCACTTCCAAGGCATTGGTGAGTTTTCCATTGTGAATCACTCGGCATATGGCACCATGTAACATCTAGCAATTAAATTAGACTGATAAGTGTTTGTAGCATACCGTATTGTTTTACTATCAAATCGCCTTTGGAAATTATGGTAATACATTTCCGAAAGAGGGAAACTGTGATGTTCAGTTAATGAATAACTAATACCGATCAATAATATTAACAATCTTACTAGATGCATGTTATTACTACATCAATGGCCATAAGATGGGTAGCATTTGCTTACATCATGGCAGATTTGGACTAAGATACAATTGTGATGTTAGTTTATAATGTTTCGATGAAACTAGATAATTGTTGGTGACTAACTACAGCTTAAAAATCAGTATACAGTTTTCTTTATGTTGTCGATAACTCACTCATCTTTAACAAGAAAACTAATAGAGAAAATCTTTTAAGGCATTCAGTGAAGTTCATCTCACTTTAATATTTACTTGTCAGCATATCAGTCTGAACATTTCCCCATCCAAAATGATGATTAATATCAGTTTGAATTTTGATTAATTCATGTTAGATGTCTGATTCTAGTACTTAATGACCTGTCTACAAACACTGTACAGGATTTTTGATTATTTACGGGCTAAGATAAACATTGAAGACGAATACCAGCACGAACCAAGCTTAAGTCTAAAGATTCCTGCTTACTGACTTTTGTGATATCATTCACTGAGAACATACGTATTCAGAAAGACAATGTCAAGTAAACAGAGAGTCGATTTCTGATTTTTAACAACTTTAAATTGAAAAACAAACTGATTTAATTTTATTAGACATTTAATGCAAATCACATGTTTCCAAGACTATTTTGATGGTGTGATGTTCTTTGACTGGATGGTTTAGTAGCCAATGTTTCATTGTCATTCTAGACAACATCATCAGCATAAACGTTAGAAAGAAATGAGCTGTAAAGTTTCTACCACGAGTAGTTTAGTGGCTTGTGCTGATTATCTCTTATATGGTTGTTTGTTTCGATTAAAATCTCGTCATTGTCTCTATGCATATTTCGATTGGTTATCTTGTCGACGTGAACTCTGACGTACTTCTTAGTTCTCCTGTTTCTTATTGGTTGATAAATTGTGTCGCTGTGAATATGCATCTTGATCGCTGACTGACCTGATTACGAAGCTTCTAAAACTTCTCTGGCATCCTTTGGATCTCTTATGCCCAGGATTTCCGCATTTTTCCAATCGAATTCAAATCCATGATTGTCCGTGTGTATTGAAATGAGCAAATATATATCATGGCGCTTCGCTGCTTATATGATATCTAAGTAGACAGATACGAAGAGGATGAATAGTTTGTCAGATATACTGCTTCTCTCAGTGAAATAGAACTTCACAAGTCAATCTGTGTGTGTGGTGTGGATACTACCGTCCAATGAAAACCGATACATTTCAACATGTATCTAGACTTCAAGTCATCCCATCCATTGCCAATTAAGGCAGGCTCAGTCAAATGTCTAAGCAATACAGCCACAAAACTGACTAGTCAGTGCAAGGACCTAAACAAGAAATTGAAACACTAATGGTTAATAATAATCCTCTGCAGTTTATTAACAAAGTCATAAGGACACACAACAAACGAAAATATAACAGTCACACGAGTACGAATAATAAGGAAAACACAAGTAGAAAGGAGCTTATAGCCTACATTGTGTTATCTTGCAAAGGAGGTACATCAGAAACGTCACTTGGAATCCTCAACGAAGCTGGAATTAAGATGTCGTTTTAACCCGCTAACTAGCTCATAGAACCAATTAAGCAGAATAATCGAATTTATCAAATTTCATGTAATGACTATGAGGTGAAGTACACAGGTGAAGCTAGCCGACTGGGGTAAGTTAGGATATCCGAACATAGGAATTTAGTTAAATATATAATGAATGACAGATCTGAATGAGATAAATAATCTAGAAAAAGTTCGGCTATTGTAATGCATACATTAACACATAACCATACAATATGGTGGGACAAGTCCACTCTACCAGAGATCTGGAAAATTTTACTACCAATAAAAACAATCCATAAAAGGTGATGTATTTATGACAATCGAATATCCAAAATAGTGTGATTACATTGATATGTTTATGAACAATAAGTGATTTATGCTGGAAACGTCATCAGGTAAATAATACTGCATCACAGTATGTTATAAATCAAATAAACAAATTTTATATGGAATTCGAACAACTTTTCAATGTTAGGAATATTTTGATCATAAAATCTGGATAAGAGTAGAAAAGACAAAATGCATAGAAAATAATGTCACGGTGTGTAATTTTGATCTTATTATCAACCATAAATAATCGTTTTACAGGATAGCCTGAATTTATTTCATTTCGTCGCCGTCTTTTCAACTGCTTACGGATTATAATATCATGTGATAAATACACAGAAAGGTAATCCATAAAGTTTACTCATCAACAGAGCAATAGGCCATTAGTGAAAGATAATGAAAGATTTCAAGTTGTTATTTATCGTAGACTGACATCAGTTGGAGGATGAATAACACGATGAATAACAACTTGAAATATTTCCAAATCTCTACAACTCCCTCAAAATTCAATAATGAAGGAATCTAAAAGGATTAAGAAATCCAAATAAAATAATTTGTGACTCATAAAACCAAAGTTATTCTATGTTTATATAGTCTGATCCTCATTTTTCTACGTAGAACCAATCAGAGAAATGAAATAGACAGTATACGTACGTGAGTGTCATGACTTAATTGTGCCAATAAAATGTAACACAGTTATTAATAGTAGTAATAACAGCAACAATAATAGTAATAATGATGTTAATAATAGTGGCGGCAATACTGTGACCAGAGACTTCAAAACACCCACAGTATTACCATGCAAAGAAGGCACCTCGGAAACACTACGTAGAATTCCCAATAAAGCTAGCTGGGATTAGAATGGCATTTAAACCTACAAACTCGCTTCGAAATAAGCTTTGTAGGTTAATAGATCCTACTGACCCAACTAAGCAGAATAACTTAGTTTACCGAATCCCTTGCAACGATTGTGAGGTCAAATACGTAGGTCAAAGTAGTCGACCAGGATCAATTAGGCTATCGGAACACAAAAACTTAGCTAGGTCAAAATTGGTAGATCCTAGTAAGGTAAGGAATTTAGAAAAACTCTCAGCCATAGCTATGCATGCAATTACACACAACCACACAATAGCATGCGACAGGAAGAATATCCTTAAAATTAACATAACAGGGTGGAGGGAGAGATTGATAACTAAATCTTTGTTTATCGAATCAACACCTAACACATGCAACAAGAATGACTGAGCACCTGTACCGGATATATGAAAAATCTTACTGCCCGTCTCACAAATAGACGAGAAAATTAGGACTATATAAAGGATATTTCAAAGTTGTGTAGTTATCTTGATATGACTATGGACAATAAATTATGTCCGAAACATAATCCAGTAAACAATACTGGTACAATGTATGATAAACCTAATAAATCAATAGAAATGGAATTACATTCTACCACAGTGCACAAGTTTCGCTCTTATATTAATGACCATGAAATTGGTTATAAATATGGATCAAAATGCAAAAATTAATAAATAGAATGGAAGGCCTTGTATTGAATGACAAAGGAAATCAACATGTACCAAGGTAGTTGAAGGTTAATAACTGTCTTTTTTAAATGCACAAGTTTGGTTTAATTCTCTCGATACCAATTACTTCGGTGAATCTTGATAAATTAGTATTGTTTTGTCCATTGATTATTTTACATAAATTCGAGAACTGGACATTTTGTCTATTAAACTTTTAGTAATGAAACTTTCAGGACATTTTGGTTCTTTTATTCGGAATGTTTTCACGAAATTGAGTTTCACCCTTCCTCTCTTTCCTTCCGATGTGCGTTAACTGGTATATATGAACATAAGAATTGGTGAATTTAATTTAAGGTGACATGAGCTGGAGACCTGTCAACTTTTGATTATTGTGGTGAAAACTTTTATTGAATAAGTAGACTAATTTAGCTGATAATGAAGAGATTTCTAGTGTTATTTCGAAAAACATAGATTCCTTCACAGGATGATAAGGTGCACTTATTTCTGTTGTTCTGGTTGTGGATGTGCCAATAAACATCCTAGAGTAGCCATTTTCCTTCACATATATTTCTCGATGAGTTGAATTTCTTCAGTCAATAAGTCTAGTGAACAAAGTTTCCTAGGCCTTTGAAATAGCGTTCCAACTAGTTCTTGTTTAGAATGGAAAAGATGGTAACTGTTGAAATGGAGATGCTCTGCACTCTATGTGTTTTTTCTTTGATAGATAAATTTCTGATATGACTCACTTCTTCTTCATTGAAGATCCACTTCCAAAGAGTTGAATTCATTGTTTGTCTCGACCTCCACGACGTTATGTGTCTAAATAACCACCAGCATCCTTTTATGCAGTAAAAATTTCTACACAACTTTATGAAAATACCTTGACGACATTTAATCAAACAATTTCTCATTCTCAATTTCCTATTCAAATAATACTATAGACTAACTGAAAGCCATAAGTAGGCTATACTTTGTAAAATGATGTGGTTTCACAAGATAGCCCTTGGATGATCTTGAAATTTGCTACAGACAATACTAACAACTTTTTTCACGGTTGTGGTTGTTCATGACACTTGCTAGGCATCTGGGTTTCGCCAGGTCAGTCAGAGTCCCTTACATGAACATTAGTGAAGTGAACGACTGACTGTTACTTAGATATTCGTTTGTCAATATAAGGACATGCCTAACAGAAATATATGTATATGTAAATGTGATAACACAGAGAAGAAGTTAATTGAAACCAGAGATGATTTCTGTACATCCGATGATTTCACTATATTGGTCTTTATTTCAAAAACTGGAATCCCCACAAACCCTAAATTAAACTTATCTAGTCCTCACCGGTGACTAGATTCGACAGGTGATTCCTGAAGTCCCAATGAGAAATAATGGTCAGGTGGAGGCAAACCTGATGGCTGTGAGGAGAAATACTCAACGATGACATTGGATGATGGCCTCACTATGCTATGAACTGACAGAAGATGATTATATGGATCAAGTGGTTCAATGATGACGTGCTGGCTATGGAACCTGAAGGTCTTGGATTCGATCCGTGGCGGGTGGGGTCATGGGTGCGCACTGTTGAGGAGTTCCATACTAGGACGAAACAGCTGTTTAGTGCACCCACGTTTCCGATGTTTCTCCGATGATATCAATCGATGATGAACACCAACTTGAAAAATCACTAAGTTTCCATAATAATGTCACCGGAATATGATACTGACTTAATGTTAGCATATAATCGGTGGTTTTCCTGAATGAAATTGGCCAACCTAATCAACTTCTGTAATCCAAAGAAATTAAACCTTTTGGATTCATTAGAGACTGATAACCGTTAACACTACTTCACGTTATGAAATTTTTTACTGTTTTTTGTGTCAATACTACATAAAGTCTAACGTGGAACCACAACTACTTAGTTATTCAACACAGACTCATATTTTGACATATGTTTCCTAGTTTTTACTATCGAACACATTTTTAGCTAAATCTTTTTTATCTTGAAGGAATGTATAAAACTGTTGTGGTTTTGGATATGATTGTTAGCATTCATCTTCTTGATTTATCTAAGATCTACACTACTATTATGGATGCCACGTAGTATCAGCTCTTGACAAAACGTTAGACTCAACAGATTCTTTTACCTATTTCCATTCTTTGAGTATCAGCTATGAGTATTCAGGCTGTGTAAAAGTATGAGCCTCATGAATGACTCAGAAGTAGGTAAGTTCAGCTGGTAAGTCACAAACAAGCCACAAGTACACATTCTGGACTCATTAATTAACATCAAAACTTAAATCAGGACAATATCAAGGCATTTACTCAAGTAGTGTGTATAACAACAGTTACAGATATGTTTTATTTGACTAAATAACCAACGGGAAATTGCAAGTATCAATAACTAAGTAATACTGTTTGTTGTCTGTTACCCATAGTTTAGGGTTTTGAATAAAGATATACAGTTCATAAAGTTATTTTTTGGAATAAGATTTTCATATACTTGCCTGACCTTGGACTTTTTTAAATGATAAAGTGCACAGAAAACGATTGTTGTATGCTTTAATCGATTCTAATAAAAATCACTGAAATCGAAGGGATAAATTTGGTCGAATTAAATAACTGCATTCAACAGCAATAAATAATTGAGGTAATAGCGAATAATAATGGGGTCATTTGTTAGTAGACAATTATCTGTATACAAACAATCAACATTTCAAGATATGTCAATGAGAAAGAATGGTCAAAAAAAATAGTTTCGTACTTGTAATTTCCTGTTGATATTACTGAGTTGAATCGTCCAACCTCTTCTGGCAAATTGGCTCCTATATGCATGCTTCGGTACTGCCCGAATACTGGTTACCCTGTAGTCCAAGAGCAAGTAAAGGTGGAAAACAGGATGCGAGTTTCGTTCTAATTGAAACCCGTCAACTGCCTTCCCTACTTCCCATTAAGTGATATTATTCTTTCAGAGTAATTTTGCATCATCGAGTCATCTATATATTATTTATTTATTTCTGCCTTGGATTCCTAGTGGAACATACGGCTTCAGTAGCACGTCATCATTTCACTTTCTTCTCGGTAGTCTTTTCAACCTACGGCCACCACTGCCCCAAGCTTTCATTTCTTCCTCACACCATCTCCTCAATGTCAGCCCCGGCTCGGACGTTCAACTCATCGTCTCCTATACAGGTTCCACTCGACAACATGGCCTGGCGCATGACGTCCCCAAACCATCTTCTCAGTGTATGTCCAGTCCAGTCCACTCCATCTCCACTTTCTTCCACTGCATATTTGTTGGGCGACTGGTTCTCCGTTGGTCTGTTCCCAGCCAGCCAGCCAGAGCGACTTCCTTGTTGCTTATTCTTATCATTCTGACCATCTGATCTGATCTTAAGTGTCAGTATTGAGTGAGCGTAGACGGCAACTGCCGATATAATGTATGTCTGTAGTTTGTTGGAAATGCTTATCGTAACGCACCAAGTCTCTCAACCATCACACAGAAGTGCTGACTTGACTGACACTAGTGTTGAAAATCCGCATCTCGTTCACGCTTTATGCCGAGTGTAGTGCAGTGCAATGCAGTAGATCACACTGATTACTTCAGATTAATGCAGGACGGCCGGTCTTGCTGTCTTTCCGATTTTGGCTGGTTTTAACATCGTCGTCTGTGCCTGTGCCACCTGTAGTTGAAACGATGCTGGCTAGGTGGTAGGTGAAAGAGACTACTTCCTTCAGATTTCTCCGGTTCATGGAGATTGGTGCTTGTTGTTGTTGGTTGGGTATCTTCATCACCTCTATCTTTTCTAATTCACCTGAAGCCCCGTCTTCCTTCACTGCCTCGCCTCTTCTGCCAACTTTTTAGTTTTCGCTTGTAGATCTTCGAGTTTGTGCGACATTAGACATCAGTCATCATCGATGGAATCCAAATCTTCTTCTAGCGTCTTTTCATCGGGTCTCTTCTCGATCCTCACAGTCTGGTATATGATCCAGTCGAGTTCATCCGACTACAATCAGGAAGATCATCAATGATGGTAGGCGGCAACCTTGTTTTACTTCTGTCTTTACTGAGCTTTCCACTGAGAATCACTCCGCACGTAGAGTGGTCACAAATATGTTGAATGAGGCTGATAAAGGTTTGTAGCACTAAAACCGTAATGTTGAAGTGGCTGCCGACGTTATCGAAAGCTTCTACGAAGTTGATGAAATTGAGGGGAAGATTCAGTTTATTGCCATTCTATACTCTTTTCTCTGATGATGGGCACAGTAGCGTTGCAGTTTGATCCGAGTTTGACTTGTTCTTCTTCAAACCAGACTGCTCCGGTCGTTATTTTGAATCCAGAGCATTTTGTAGTCTCTCCTTTGTGGTACGGCATAATATTTTGCTTGCTTGGGGTGGACAGAGGCATGATTCTATGTCAGTTTTTGCAACGACTTATGTCTCCCTTCTTTGGAAGTGTCGCAATTGTATAAGTTCGTATAGCCTCATACATCTAACCATGAGAGATAAATTCATGGTATAATCTTAGTGTTGTGTCATCTTCATCAGAGACTGAAAAACCCCAAGTTACGGAACTCTAAGACAGTTCAAAGGTCTTCATTTTCTTTTCATGTAGACTGATAACAGAAATCAGCAGACAAGATCACTTCTACTTATTCATACATCCACTTAACATGCATACTCAATATTACTCGTTGTCAGATAACTGAGAAATCCATTCAGATAGAAATCATTCGAATGAAAAGATTGTCATTTGCTTTTTACATATCTAAATTGATCTTCAGATGAAGTTAACTTCCAATACAGAGTGAAAAATCATCTAATTTTAGATCAATTTAGATGTTTTCAAAAATATTTGTTTTGTATTGTGCAGGCTAACATAACAAGAATTGACTACAGTAAATAAAGAAATCGGAAGTTGTTATGTACATATTATCTCACAAAAACATCCTTATCATCTATTACAAGATTATTCAACCTATCCTTAAATGATAACAAGAAAGTATATCAATTAGACAGAATAATGACAGCTGATTCAACTATCTTTAACACAATTACAC